TTGACTGAAGTTATTTATTTCAACTTTCGTATCAAAGATATTGACTACTAACTGGAAGTAAGATGGGAATTTCATTATAGACAGCATAGGAATCTTGTATTGACAATATGATGAAGTTATTTATTCAATTTGTATCAAAGATATTGACTACTAACTGGAAGTAAGATGGGAATTTCATTATAGACAGCATAGGAATCGTGTATTGACAATATGATGAAGTTATTTATTCAATTTGTGTCAAAGATATTGACTACTAACTGGAAGTAAGAATTATTATTATACGGAAGTGGCTGTAGAGTATATTTACACTAAAAGTCTTATTGTGTTGTTTTTATTTTCACCATATTAGCCTAACATTAGTTTTTGGCAAAGTGACATATAGGGTGGGTGAGACTTGGTCAATATGTTCTGAAACTCCAACACCACCTAAGTTTCTTTTCTCCTTTTATTTAGCCTTTTCATTTTATATTTTCTCAGAACATATTTTTGAAACTCCAACACAATAACATCTCCTCACTCAAGTTTTATATTATCAGTATGTTCAGTCTACTTGATTGAAACTACTATATAGTAAGAACACTTCAACTAGGTTTATTTGTCTGTAACATCACTGTTTATATATTCTCCTACTTGTGTTAAAGCACTGTTTTTATTGAATCTACATCTGAAATATTAAAGCTGTAGTGAATTTCTGGCTTTATAATAAGGTTAAATTATTAAAATATTTAACTTGGTAACTAAAGTCATACCCACCATTGAAGAGATGGGTATAATATGTCCTATCTAAACTGTTTCATTATCTTTAGGCGAAAGTTACGGTGACTCCAAAGCTATTGGGCAGAAAAATATTTTGGATGGTGAAAATTATACTTCTAAAGGCAAAGCTTTCAAGGAAAACTATGACACAGTAAGAAAACTCTGATTTTTTTCCCTTAAGTATCTTTAGTGATTTTAAAACTGATGTTTTATTTTTAACTGTATAATAAAGAACTGTCCTTGTGATAGTTTTTGGTATTCTGATTTGCAGCAGGCATATTATAAGTATGTGCAATACACATTAGATTCCGGAAATGTTTTGCAAAGGAATAAACTGAATACAGACAGCTGATGCTCAATAAAAACAAGAATCTTTATTTCATACACTTGCAATACACAATAGATATCTGAAAAAATCAGATTTTCAGAAAGAGAATGTAAATTAAATACATTGATAAAAGAACACCAAAACCTTTCCCCAAAAGCACATGAACAAATGAATAGAAACAAACCAGATTTTGATGAACAAAGAAATGGAGAATCTTTACTAATTAAATCTCACAAACCTACTATTAGCAAACACTTAGGTTATTCCTCTGTACATTTGTTAATTACCATTTCCTTAGATTATTTTCAACCTAACCAAACTCCTCAGATACACATACACACATAGACAAAGAAAACTCTGTAACACTGCCTTTAAATGTGATTAGAAATTCTATATAACAACTAACTTTTTATTGGTAGATCATTTGTAAAATGCAAAAAAGAATTGCATTATGTATGTTTTAGCCTTAGCTTCATGTACTTGACCATGATCACACAAGTGATTGAAATATCTTAGAAATAAACAAACAATTTGAGAAAGAAAACCTATTGAAAAATTATGATTTCTTCATTTTTTAAAATATGTTTACAGGACTTCTCTAGCTATTGAAGCTGGAGAAAAATATGTTTACCAAAGAAGAAGACTGGGACAATAAGCACGATGTATTGGACTATTAATTTTAGAAAGAAGAAACTTATTACAAAATTACCTGTATTAATGATTATTCCAACTCAACATGTTAAAGGGAGATAAACCTGCGATCTATACAAACTCGTATGAATCTCTGTACCAACTATTAAGGTAGAGGATTAGCATAAGTTTGCATCTTTTTGCATCTTGTTTACAAGGTTATATGTTAGCTAAATGGAGAACATCTACACATCTAAAAAACAGTTACATGAATATATCTAAATATTGATATGTTATTTTATAATTATGAAAAGTTGAAATATAACAGTTTTTCAAATGCAATAATCTCAACAGTTTGTATGAAAGGAAATGTCGGAATGAAACAGGTTGTTCTTTTATTTTTGTTAATAATTTATTAACAATGGAAAATATACAAAGGCTGTATACTAAGTGCAACCCAGTTTGTTTTGAAAGCTAGAAAGCATCAATACAAGGTCCTGAAAGATTTGACAAATGTGGATTTGTACAGATTTTACCAGTGATAAATCGCTAGTTTTTTGAACTCTATTTGTTGAACATTTTGACAAGTTTGAGTTTTCCAGTATTGAAATGTTGAGGGAGGAAGAAGAAAGAAAACCAAAAACACTGAACACAGTTTTAACACTTTCTTTTCTCAACAGTATCACAAATTTAAAGATAAATTTTAAAGGCTTGAAATTTGTTATGTAGTGTCTTAAATAGTGAATACTTTAAGCAAGAAACTATCTTAATTAAAGAATGTTTTGTTAAATAAGCTGATATGGTAAGCTCGATAAAATATATCTATATAAAACTGTAGTATATTGCCTCTTTAACTGAATTGGTATAAAATTTAAATAACAAAATTAATTAAGTCCATTTGGTAAAGTGTATTAACTATATAGTAATCACCATTAAGTAATTTAATAGAAGTTTATTAACTGTTGATTTAGTAAACTTTGATAAGGAACTTGATATGGTGAGCTTTGTTTACTGTGTAAATTTAGTAAGCTTTCATAAAGAACTTGGTATGGTGAGATTTGTTTATGGTGTTGATTTAGTATGATTTTATAAGGAACTTGATATAGTGAGCTTTATTTACTGTATTGATTTAGTAAGCCTTAATAAGAAACTTGATATGGTGACCTTTGTTTACTGTGTTGGTTTAAATAGCTTTTAACTAAATTGATATGGTAAGCTTTGTTAGTTCATCTAATAGAAAGTTTGTTAACTGTTTATTAACTTAAATCTCATGAGCTTGGTTTGCTGTAGTGACTTAAGCTTTTAAGTAAATTGATATGGTAAGCTTTGTTAACTTTCATAATAAGATCCTTTCCTAGTCATGAGAAGTGACTTAAAACCGATTATGTGTAAAATATGTCTTTGAAATCTGTGTTGACCTAGAGTAATACATAAACAAATTTTCAGTAAAGTAAAAATTAATTTGCAGTCTATACAGACAACTGAAGTATAGATGATGGAATTTATTATGTTAATATGGAGCATCACCATGTTTACTCTTAATATGAGTAAAGATTTATCTGGCTAAGCCTATCATTTGTTTTAATGTTACTTTTATTAATTTTTTCTGTGAGAGTTAATCTTAGGCCAGCATTATTTGCATAAACATGCATTTTTTTGTCACTTAGCAACAAATAGGATCTAGCTGTTCCATTTCAGCAGTGGCCAAAAGTTGTTTTTATTGACATTGTAGTTGACAATATCCTCAGTAATTTCCAATACATGGTGTGAGATGTACTATATGTAAATAAGATTCCCAATTTTGACCAATCACAAAATTAGAAGGAATAACTTGGGTTCAATATGACATCATCTATTGTTTATCTGGAAATATAGGTGGAGAAAGGCAACCAATGTGAATAAGTGTTATCCACTCATTCTTCAATATTTGTTGGATGTTCCTTCATAGGTATAAATTAAACAAAATCAAAGTGATGGTTGGAATGTTTTTGCTCCAAGACACAAAGAAAACAGACTGGCATGACTGTATAAATGATTATTTATGGGCAAGATTTCTCAGCAAAACATACTGATCCTCTTGTAAATATTTCTGTATCATTGAAAAAATTCAGTAAGCATTTGGTTCACTTTTTCTGAATCTAATAAACATTATATTTTCTTAATGAAATCCATGTTATTTGCCAGTACTAACTGTGGAAGCCTGTTTTGTTCATTACTTGCTGCATCAAAGTTTGGACTCCTTTTAATCAGCTCACCAATTTTGATAATCAAGTAGTTATCCTTCAGGAAAATATTTGCATTTTTAGAATGAAGATGGTCCCATCCACCTATTGACTGCCAGTCACTAGAGCACCATGTTTTTGTGTAAATGAGATATGAACCAAAGTATATAGTAATATGCATTGTTAATAAACCTTTATACAGTATGTGCATGGATCAACTGGGGTTGGTAATGTGTTTTTATTTGTGTTTGGTCATTTGAGTTATTTTATGAATTTTCAGTGAATGTAAATGAAATGAATTGTTAAATGGATAAAACAAAATATACTCTTCCAAAATAAAAAATATAGATAATTTGATGAGGCTGTATCAATTGTAAATTGAAATTTATTTTATCATAATAGCTGTTCCTCGGCTTTACAGGTTACCATTTATTTATTTTTTCTTTTGTTTTTAATATAGACAATAGTATGTTATTTGATGTGATTGAAAAATTATCATTCAATGAATGGTGAAAAAGAACATAAACAATTAAATACAAGAGGAAATCTTCAATAGCCATGGCTGTAATTAGATCTCAAATTGGTCAAGAGATGGAGCAATGAGCTAAAAGTTTGTATTTGAAAAATTAAAAAACCTCCAAGCCATTCTATGAGCCTCTATGCCATGGCTAAAAATATGCAAGAATAAATCACTCATTCACTTGAATTCAACCAGCTTGGGTAAACTTGGATGATGCTGCCTGTCATTTACGGCAAGGGGTTTGACAAATCCCATTCAATCTTCCAGCAGACATTGCACCAAACAGAAATGGTGTGCCCATGATAAAATGCAATTGCTAAAAACAAATTTAATTTCTGGGTGGGAAGGAATGTTCTAAAAATTTTACCTGCCTTATTGGGTAGGTAACATGCCAACTTTACTTGTCCAGAATTAATTTTACCTTTCCCAGACAGGCAGATTGTTGTTAATGTCAAGCCCTGCCTATTCTGTAAAATTTTGATAATATTGTTAATTATAGCATGAATGAGTTATTTTTGATCGATTTGTCAGGAAATGTAATATTGTAAATCATCTTTGGGAATTCAGCTTCATTAATTCCTTTCTTATTTCCTGAGGACTGATGGATTAATCTGGACATTGTTTAGACATTGCAAATGGTGTGTATACAAAATTACATTTAATGAGAGCATGGTGCTTCATTTAAAGGCTAGACACTGTACCATTCCAAACAAAGGGCCATGGAAATCTTTAAAATTAGTGTGATTAAACAGATGTAATAAACAACTAAATTTTTATAAATCTAATATTGTATAAAAAGATCAACTAGAAAAAAAGAGAACTTTTAAAAAATTTAATGTATTGTACACTATCTTAATCACAATCATGGATATTCTTCAGGCCAGCAATAACTGCAGTTCATCTATCGAAGAAAAGAACTCTGATGATGAAGCCATTACTGATGAAGAATCTGCATTATTAATAAGGAGGAAGAAAGAAGAAAAAAGGAGTGAAATGTCTCAACAAGAAGCTATGGAAAAATTGAGTTGGTATTGATTTACAAAACGTAGATATACACACAGACTTGAAAAACTAAAATTCTATAAACCAGAAGTACTTAGAATGAACTCACTATTATTTTTCGGTTTGGAGAGAATTATATTTGCTACATTCATTAAAAAAAAGTTGCAATTTGGCAAACAGTTATTTCTCACTTGAAAAAGAAAAGAATTAAGTTTGTGTCTGTTATGATGAAGTGATATAATGATGTTAACCTTTTTCCTAGTCCATTTTCAGTATATTACCATTTCTGCATTTTCTTTTATAAAACTTAATTACTCATAAGCATCACCATATCTTAAAACAGTCAATTCAAGCATGAAGCATTATAACCATTCAATACATTGTGTTGTTATGCAATACATCTATAAACACTGACCCAAAAACCAGATTTTACACATGTTTATTAGTAAAAGGTCTAATTATCTTAAATACTAGCTTTTTTGTTGAAACAAGTTTAAAATAAACACGTCTTGTATATTGTTGGGATTAATATAAATAGTGTTTATCTTATGAAACTTACCCCTGTACTGTTTTTAGAAATGAGGTTGCAACTGTTTCAAAAAAGGTCTCCCTCCCAATCCATAAGCTTGGTAAAATTGGTTTTTTAGTTTCAAACTATGAACAGGAGTTTTTATAAAGTGCAAAACAACTGCCAAAGTAATTAATTAAACAAACAACCACGAAGACCAATGACTAACTAATTTATTTTCCCTACATAGTGTATAAAAATATCATGCTATGGTTTGATTATATAAAGGGATGTGATCAAGAAAAGCATCTAATGTAATAACTAAAAGTTTCAAAATTTACAGTATACATAAGGAAGAAAGCTCTGTGACAAATATAGTGTGAGAAAGAAAATAAATTGAAGTTTTGAATGATATATAATAATTTTGTTAGTTTCAGAAGTTTTGAAAATTGTGAAACAAAAAAGTGCAGTTAGTTGAGTTTAAAAATATTTTTGACCCCACCAACTTCTGAAATTTGATGTTTTCAAAGTATTTAATCTATAAATAAGCAAAAATATACATGAAGATTACTGGTTTGTTGATTTGTTTCATATTTTGACAAGTTTTATCTACTTTGCTGGGAAGTTTATGTATTTGTACTACGTAAGTAAAAAATTACAGTTGGGGATACAAATAAACATTAGGGTTAGCAGTTTAATTCATTTTTATTTTCCTTACTTGATCCAAAACAAATATTTTATAATGTATTTCATGACAAAATTCTAAATCTGAACATTTGAGTTAGTTTTATTTTTATAGGTAATTTGAAGGGAAGAGACCAGACAGAATATTTTCAAAATTGTAATTTACCCCCCCCCCCCAAAAGAAATATGTGGTAAAGGGTTAGTTTAATAAAGGAAAATGTAATTACTTTTTATTTTATCCACATCCAAAATGATTTGTAGAAAAGTTATGATACAAAAATACTTTTGTCCATCCTTCATTTGAAACTTACAAGATTTTTTTGAGGTAGAAGAATAAAATGACATGTTCTTTTCTTCAGAGGATGTTGTAAATCCAGATGATCCCCATTCAAAGTACATCCTGGAAAAGAAGATTGGGACAGGGTAAGTTTTGAGCATGTGATTGAACAAGCCAGTTGGTGGTGAAATGATTAATCTAAATTTAGCATTACTTTGAATTGATGAATTCTTTCCAAATTTAGAGCTAAAATTGTATAAAATTGCATGATAATACTCTTTTTTTTTTCTAGAGCTTCGGGCATGGTGTACACAGCTGTGGAAAAGGATACAGATAAGAAAGTAGCCATTAAGACCATGGATCTACAACAGCAACCCAAGAAAGAACTAATTATAACAGAGATTCTAGTCATGAGAGAAAACAGGTAACTTAAGTAGAAAGCATAACATTGGAATTTAGGGGAGACTAAATATTTATACATTATTAATGGGGGAGTGGGATAATAATAAGCTAAATAGCTGTTGTTAGTATATCTACGCATAGAGGCATAGTATTAACAGGATCTCTTTGGTGTGATTATCATAAAATGTGATATTGTTATTCATAGCAGTTAGTTAATATTAATTTCTGATCTAATTAAAAAAGTAATTCAATAATGCGTATTGATGATGAAATATTGTGTTCTTACTTAAAAAGATTAGAATACATTGTACATCACTTGAGTACTTACACTGTTGGTTATACTTTCGGCTGTAATCTCAACATCTCATAAGTTTTGGCCAGTTTAGGAGATTTAGGTTAGTCCTAAACACCTATAATAAACTAATAATGCAGAATAATTTTTATATACAATATAATAATAATAAATTTTTGATAGTTTTAGTTTAGAGGATGGGACAGCAGAGATGGACATGTAGGTCTCTTGTTGTTCTTAAACATTATATGTTAAATAAATTACAGATGATAAAAATAAATATATTTACATTCTAACCAGAACTGTTAATGAAGGTATCATTAAAGAAGAATAGAGTATACTTTAGTTATGGAACACATAAACACTAGTGGTTTACTTCATAAATTTGGTGTTACATGAAGAACTTGGCATAACTTTAAACCATGTCTTGTGTCCAGTGAAAGCCCATTCCAACTTGACTAGCTTAACATATGAAATGAATCACTATAACATATGTTACTGTTTAGGTATAGAGTTGAGCAACAGAACAGTACAGCTGGTTCAGCAAAAAATTTATGTTTATGAATATCCAAAATAATAATAAATAAATAAAGTGAATAAGAGAACCAGATAGTGAATTTGAAGAGTGTTGAAGTGTTAAATGTAATAAAAAGAAAAATAACATACTATGAAATGTGCCTAACACAACTAATTCAACTAATTAATCCCTGTCACTTTCCAACACAAATGGAAAAGACAGCCAGAACTAATAAAGATAAATACTGTAGTAGCCAAAAAGTTTACTGTATAAGATCTAAGGAAGCTCCCAGTAATAATAAGACTTATAAAAGGAAGTAACAACAGTGATAAATATGACAAAGTAATTAGCAAGACACTAATGTAACTTAACTAATGATGATGTAAATGTATACTGTATAGAAATCTGTTATACAGTTTGCATTAACTATAGTAATAGTTTAAACTAATGGCGGTTGCCATACCCCACTGATTCATTATTATATTAAACAATGTTTGAGAAATTAAAGTGTAAAGCTGAAAGTTGTGATACTCCACAAAATTTGTAAAGCATAAGATCATTGAATTTCTTGCAAAATTGGATGAATCTGGTGTTCAAAATGCAGTATGAGAATCCTCTTTTGTGAAAAACTAGAATATGTTTACAATTATCTTTGTAATATGTAATAGATTCTATAGTATTTAATAGGCTTTGAGCAGTCAAATTGTAACATGATTTGGAATATGTAAACTTGAAATGTAAAGTTTGTAACTTCAGAATTAAAGGTGTTTTATTGAAAACTTTGAACATAAATGTTTGATTAATGATGCTGATACCGAAATTCAGGTAATAAGTTTCTATTTAGTTAGAAAGTTTTCTTTCCAGAGTGAATTTTGTTGGATCAATTTGTTTGGCAGCATAAAGTAAACCTTGATAATTATGTCTGTTATTTATTCTCCTGTCAACCACTTACTTGCTGGTGACATTGAAATTGCAAAGGTCTTAAATCTCTGGGAATGTTCTAAATTTATATTTGTTATTTATTATCCTATTGACCACATACTCACTGGTAACATTGACATTGTAAAGGTCCTAAATCCTGGAAATGTTATGAACTTAATTGGAAATGCACTAAATAAGTGAATTGTTTTAATTTGTAAAAAAAAGTTTATATTACAACTTTATGTCAAGAACTAGAGTTTTATATACAGACATTAAAACCTTCAGGTAACAAGGTTTATGAATATATTACAGTATTTGTCCATTCTGAAAAACTGTACAATGTAATACCTAAATTATTTTAGATTTCCAATCTTTATCTATGAACAAACAAATGTAGGTTTATTGTTGGTGTTAACAAAAAGTTATGATTAAGGATTTACTCATTCTACATGGTAAAGGTCTGAAAAATTAAAAGGTATCTAATTGAATATTGTAATATTATAAAAGAAATAAATGGTATTAATCCGTTCATTATCATTAGTGATTCCATTGAATTTAAAGACAGAATTAAAGACTTTAATGCAAAAACAATTGAAACTTTGATTTTAGTAATCTTGAAACTAGTTTTCCTATTAATAAAATTAAAAGTATTTTGTCTTTTAAGAATTTTAGTAAATTAATATTTAGTGTTAAAAATCACAGATTTAGCTACTACTCATTGATGTAACAAGAAGTGGTAGCTAAAACAATGTATTTTGATGTTTTGTCAGTCTTCCACGATCTGTGTGTTTAGTAAGAGAAAACATGTCTTTGTCGTCTGTTTGCATTTCACATTGGAGCTCAAGCATAATAAGCATATATTCTTCACTATCTATGTGAAGTTTACAAGCACAGGAAAGTCGTTGTCAGAAATTTTCTTAAGCATATCTGAGTTTAATATATCGGAACACTGAAGCAGAATTTCATCTTCACTTGAAAAGGATGGCAAAGAGACCATTTGATATGCAACAAAAATGTCAAGAATTCAATAATTTAGAATAAAATCAGAGTACATTCATGATACAGAGCTTCTTCTTAGCTTCAAGAACTGTTTGAACAGAGACATGGTAGTTACTGTCCATGAAGGATTGATACTGGATTAACCTTGATTTTAAGTCATCAATCTGAAATTTACCTAGAAGCACATACTTAGCTCCATGCTCTTTCAAAAGATATTCAGTTATTTCTCGTGTAGTATAGTGTGTTACAAAAGTTGTTGACATTTTTGGGCCAGTTTACCAGCATTCCTAGGTCCCCTAGAGAGTAAATCAGACCAAACTTTGAGCCAGGTAATGAGATTATCAAACAATTTCATTTTAGGGTCATCCATACACACTGTTTGGTTCTGTCACTCTTCATGGTAACTTGCACCCTTATTTGGATATTTTACATGTACAAACATGATAGCACTGTTTGGTAACAAGTGCCACTACCTCCCATTCCTGCATGTCCTTATCTCGACGTCCAATCAGTTCAAGAGCAGCAACTGTTTGGTTCATCAAACACATCCAGAGCAAGTCTCACTTTTTTTTTTTTTAGATGACTATGGATTCAATGACTTTGCAATTATATGTTGACCATATTTGACTACTTTC